ATGGAAAATACGCCACTCGAGTCTCGTATGAATTTTACGGGTGGTGTATTTTCCAGTATAAAACATTCGTGTCTACACAATAAAAAGACTAAGCCACCACGTGCTAGCAGAACTGTGAAGCATGTCTACGTTCCCTCGAAAAATAGAATGAAACCATCAAAAAAATAAAAAATGCCTCTGCCCATAAACCATCTAGCGGCCTAGTTTTTAGACACGGAAACAGGCACGAAGCAAACGCAGAAATTTATCTTTTCGCGAGAAGACCAAAAGTAAAAATTTCAAGTAGTCTCATGCTTAGAGCATTACGTTGACATAGTCCAGTAATAATCGTACATCCGAGTTGTCTTTCACATTCTAAACCAATCTATTACATGAAGTATTTGTAAGTAACATGACTATGCATGCACCGACTGGTTGTAAAAAGTTCGCAGCTGGAATTGGACCATTTTATATTAATAGGTAATCAGTATTAACAAATCAATTCCGAGGATGGGGATTCCCTCGGATATTCACTCACCTGATAATACAGTAAAAATTTCGAAATTTAATTTCCTGTCAAATAAAGCCGCCTCTTTTCAATGAGAGAGTTCAAAGCGCGTCTAACAAAAAACCCTCTAAACGTGTGACCTTCGTTTCGGTATTTCATGAGACCGAAAAACGAGCTCTGTGAATGTTGTGGAACTATTAGTTGAATCCAGCTGCTCGGCAGACGTAAGACGCATACTAAAATGAAAGCAAGCACGTGTTTATAACAATAGGACGCTTCTGAAGAGTGACGCCAACAACTGCGATGTAAATAGGCCGCGTTCGATAGATCGATATTCATGGTTCCGAGGCTTTCGGGTCAAAATTGTTAATTTGTTAAGTTTCTTTTGACTCTCAATTCCCAAAAGAGACTTGGATAAAAAGAAAACAACACCAAATACAGAAGTTTGTGATGAAAGCCTCGGAGCCATATTAGAATATTGATATATCGAACGTGGTCTATTCAAAACGGCCATTTTGTCGGCGATCAACAGAGCGAAGAATCGGGAGCTTTTTCTTTGAGTCTTCTTTGTTGTGGAATTTTTAATCTGTAAACAACTGTAGATATTTCATTTTCTAAGTGACGAAAAACAAACAACAGTGAAATGAACTTTTCACAGAAACCTGGTGGCCAACTGAGTCGCAAATGTCGTCTGCAAATTTTATCTTAGGCTACTAAATTTGGATCCACCATCTCTTTGCGACAATCTAATTTAGCAGTTTGTTCCTTGCTAATCGTATCTATAACAAAATTCTCGATCGTGGTTGGTCCTCCGCGCGCCTATTTGACAAGTAATCAAAACTATAACAAAATTTTCGAACGTGATTGGCTATCAGCAGCCCTGTTTGAGCATTAATTGGACAGTGTACGCGTCATGTTTGTAATTGGACAGTACGTGTCATTTTGCGCGCGCTGTTGCGGTGCACTTTGTTCAGTAAACTGCTGGGTTTTTCAACATTCGTAAAGACGTTTTAAAATCGTTCAGTGCTCAATCGATGGTTTGTTCGTTTCTCGAATTTTGTCATAGTTTTGATTAATTGGTAAGAGGACATCGTGTCGTCCAATTCAGTCTCTAATCATACTCGTGATTAACAAATCGGACTCCCGCTTCGCGGTCGTCCGATTTTGTTAATCACTCGTATGATTACAGACCGAATTGGACTCCACTCAGTCCTATTACCATTATTAATCGTGTCCGTAATTTCAAATCGACCTCGCGCTTCGCTCTCGTCCGATTTTGAAAGTACTCGCGCGATTTCTCCCTGAAGTGTACTCCAATCGGGCCAATTACTATTACTAATTACTATGGTTTGTTCGATCTTAAGCTGATTTTGTCGATTTCAGCCGAAACGCCGGAGACATTCGATCGAACGTTTATTTCCAATTGTCTCAACTAAACTAACTCTGTTTTTCTGAGTTTGGGACATTGTTGTGACCTGTTCTCTGTTGTTCAAAGAGCCAATAGCGCGCCTTGTTTTGCAGGGAGGAGTGGTGGGGATCTGAAGAAAACGAGGTTGGTTCAGTTGTTAGTCTCGGCGTGACATAATAGATCTATTTTTATTTCCTTTGGATGAATGAGATCGAAACGATCGAGGTCAAGAATTGGTCTATAACAGGACGTGGACCAAGTTCGTTCCGAGGAGAAACAATGCCTTTGGATTATCTATTTAACAAGTAGATTCCATGTTGCCGTGCGTCTGTTCAGTAATAAATAACAGATGACGTCAAAATGTGGTAAGAACAACTAAGTGGCACACGAGGCGAT